GTCCTTTTGTTGCTAGTAGTACGGCCAGGAGCCCCTACTAGCGTCCTCTTGTTTCTAGTAGTAGGGCCAGGAGCCCCTAGTAGCGTCCTTGCTCCTAGTAGCGATGCCAGGAGCCGCTAGTAGCTCCTTGCTCCTAGTAGTATGGCCAGGACCCCCTAGCAGCTTCTTGTTACTAGTAGCTTCTGTGTTGAAACAAAACTGGTGGGACCTTTGGCGTGTCCAAAAACGATATAGAAAACGTGTAGAAAAGGCTTCGAAAGTACAGGAACAAGGTATCCGGAAGTGTCCTGTGTTTCTTTTGGTTTTACATTTTCCACTGAAAGAGTCTCAGACTTTAGATAAGATGCTGCAGCTGGACTTGCATGCAAACTGCGGGAGGACATCGCTAGTAGGTTGGAGGCCATTTCTATTAGGTTGGACTCTACCAAGGACTCTTCTGGAGACCATTGCCTTGAGACGAGTTCTTCCCCAGGAGTCATCCAGAGTGGTTTGACCTCTGACATAGCACACACAAAAGCAGAAACGTGGTGAGGGCAGTGTCGGGGTGTGAAAAATTAGTGTTGATACAGATCAAATCTGCCATGAAGATGTGTTGCTCAATTGTTGAAGGGTGTGCGAGTCCACGACAGAGAGAGGTGTGTGCTGCTAGCCTAACTGCTGTCTCACCTCATGTCAGTATATATGCTTGGGAATATATGATTTTATAACTCTAGCGATGCACTTGTTACTATTAGCTTATTGTTTCTAATAGCTTCTTGTTACTACTAGTAAGGCACCTGTTACTACTAGCGATGCACTTGTTACTACTAGCTAGACTGACACAAGAAAGTCATAATTACATCGTCGAATCGTTGGTGCACAAAGTGGATGACAATCTCGGTTTACTTGAAGCTCAGCTGGCTGGGCTTGGAACAAGAAAACAAAACAGGGTAGGAAACGCTACTAGGAGCAAAGGGCATCGCTACTAGGAGCAAGAACGCTACTAGGGCTCCTGGCCTTACTACTGTACTAGGAGCAAGAAGATACTAGTAACAAACAGCGACCAATTTTCCCTGAAGAGCCGAGGTGCACAGTCGATCGCACATTTGAAGACATCATTCCTCTCCAGCTGTAACAAGAAGCTACTAGGTGGAGGCCATGGCTCTTAGGGTGGAGGCCATCGCTACTTTAGTAGCAAGGGCATTACAACTAGTAACAAGTGCATCGCTACTAGTAACCTTAAGAAGCTACTACTGTAGTAATTGCAGAGGACGACCTCCGCGGCTTGTGCCTCAGCCTTTGCCAAGAAAGCCAACAATGGGCAAAGGCATTGCATTTTCAGGACCGGGTTTGTTTCCAGGAAATGCTTCCACTTCTCTTTTGCAAAGCATGGCAGCTTTGCATTTGCCAGATGGAACATGGATTTGTTTGATGGCCCAATTTGGTTCTCACTTTCCCCGCTGCGGAAAAATAAATAGAAGAGCTCCTGGGGAGTGGCAGCTTGCGGATGTCACTCCTCAATCGGTCCAAGTATGCCTGTCCGAACAAAAGAAGACTATATAAACCATTATAAACCAGAAAAGAATACTGTAATGAAATTTAAGGGACAGAAAGGAATTCATTGTTTAAGAAGTATATAATATATTTATGTATATATATGACGGAGAACACGCGAACACACAGACAGTAATCCGTCCTTGTTTCCGGGTGGGGCTCAACTGAGGAGATGGGTCACTGGCACCGCAAGAAGAGAACTTGTCCCACGGTGCTCTCACCAGGTCTTCACCCAGGTCTTCGCAAAAAAATCACATTATGTGGAGGCCATCGCTCTTAGGTTGGAGGCCGTCGCTAGGTAGGTTGGAGGCCATCGCTATTAGGTTTCAGAAACTGTTCACTGAAGACTTCGTAGAGCTTAGCCCCGAAGTGGAGCATCATTTTGGGGGAGGGGCAGCAGCTATGTCAGTTTATGCATAGCGTATAGAAGAAGTGGAAGTACATTATCGAAAATACTCGTAGAGACTATATACAGCAGACAGCAGCATTACTAGGAACAAGAAGCTATATACTAGGAACAAAGGGCATCGCTACTAGGAGCAAAGGATGCTACTAGGAGCAAGGACGCTACTAGGGGCTCCTGGCCTTACTACTAGGAGCAAGAAGCTACTAGGAACAAAGGGCATCGCTACTAGGAGCAAGGACGCTACTAGGGGCTCCTGGCCTTACTACTAGGAGCAAGAAGCTACTAGGAACAAAGGGCATCGCTACTAGGAGCAAGGACG